GAGAGAGAGAGAGAAACACTACAAACCGCCTATAGGTGGAGTTCTACAGTACTTCACCTATAGCTTTATCACCGTACAACTCATATACATTTTGCAGTGTCAGAACACTTTTTTTATGTATTAAAATATGTAATTTACAATTTCCTATCTTGTTATATTCTCTTAGAGTTTCCTTGTATGAGTTGCATGATTTTCTTAAATATGGAATGTCAATATTTGTTTCCTGGCAAAGGCTCAGTAAAAGTTTCAGCTACTTGATTACAAGTGGGAAAAAGAGGGGTGACGAGTAATCGAAGAGCAACCTTTTTTTTTTTTTCGGTAAATCAACGGGGGAGAAGGGTCCCTACCTAGTTTTCAATAATCCAAGATAGAAAAAAGTACATTATACTATTTTACAACCTTGCATTAGAGTAATTGCGCCACATCATGAGGTAAAGGAAGATGAAGGAAATTGGGAGGTCTGGAGCACCAAATGGCGGTTACCGTGAAAATTGTAGCCTTTTTCACAAGAACATCAGCCACCATATTAGCTTCACGGTAGATATGACATATAGACAATGAAAATTTCTTAAGCTTGAACTCACAATTAGCAGCTATGTTATGGAGAGCCTATGGAGGTTTACATTTGCCTTATATAACCTGAACAAGTAAGGAGGAGTCAATTTCAATTTGAAGAGGGAAACATTCCATTTGAATAGCTAAATTGATGCCCCCTGCTAAACCACGAAATTCTACATAATTATTGGAGCATTACCAAGGGGAACAAAAAATGCAGCAATAAAAGAGTTGTCATCCCCTCTAATAACACCCCCACAACTCACTCTACTTGGATTCTGAAAAGAAAACCCATCAATATTTAGCTTAACTGCTGCACATGTGGCAATGAGCATGCTACTGTTATAGGTAACTTGATTCTTTGCTTCCACCATGTAAGTCGAAATTTCTCAGTAATAGCCTCCTTTGAGATATGATAACTCCACACCTTAGCACCTTAGCAACCTTTTTTAGCACAAAATACTAGTCTAACTCAACTTCTTTTGTTCGGGCATGAAAAACATGATTAATTGTCACGTAGAAAGCACTAATATTGTCACATATAAGTGTTGGTGGCTGAAAAATAGGCACCAATGTCCCATAGAATAAAAAAAAGATAGGTCAATTCTGCAGTAGTGGATGCCATATATCAGTATTCATCTTCAATACTTGAACGAGTCAAAATTAATTATTTCTTAGCACTCCAAGATATGTAATTAGAACCAAGATAAGTGCAAAAAGTAGTGGATTCCACCTGGAAAATAAGATACCTCTATGCCAAAAAAGTAGAGAAGAGGTCTCAGATCTGTTCTAGCTTAGCTAATATAATAGGTTCTTTTTCATTTCAGGCACTAAAAGAACATTATAGACATTAAAGTTTCCAAACTCAATAACAATATTTGTATCACCAACATGATAAATAGTTATTTGTTCACCATTCCCAACCACGACTGTATCTATACCTCTATAGCAACGAATGTTTTGTAACTTAACAAGATATCTTGTGATATGAGTAGAGGCACCTGTGTCCTAGAATTGGTCTGAGTCAACTATAGTCACTACAACAAGGGCCTATAGAATATCTTTTGCTTGGTATGTATGATTGAATGGATGCCAACACTTCATGCAGTCTGTCCAAGTTTTCCACAAATTTGATACTTTTATCGGGTTGTCTGAGCTGACTGTTGTATTTGGGAATCTTGTTAGAAGTCTTGATTCATGTGTTGAATAAGAGCTGTTCCACCACTTTCTTGGTTTGTTTGGGGTTTGGGGTACTACACGAGCACCATTCATGTTTCAACAAAACCACATCCCTGAAAGTTGAAAATACTATTGACCACCAAAGTTGTTTCTTCCTCTGCCTTTGTGATTTTGATAACCTCTGTAGGGTCTAAATTTTTCATGTTATCCAATAAAGGTGATATTCTGATTTGGATTTGAGTGTTCTTCAAAGAAATGGGGATGATTTGTAATCTCATGGTTTCGAAGATGATGTATAATTTCATAATAGGACGGAATAAAATGCTTAAGCATAGTGGTAGAAAAACTCTTATATTTTGAAACAAATCCATTAAGAAACCAAAATATCTTATTTGGTACATGTTTTCCAAAAAACACCAAATCATCAAAAATACTCTTAAATCTGCATATGTATTTTGATAGGGTCGAATTCCCTTTTTGTAGAGTTGGAATTAATGGGAAAATTGAAACTCCCTAGCTTACAAAGTACCGACATAGGAATTCTTCCAGGCATTTCAAAACTTCTACAAAAGTATTACAACCAACAACAAGGCTGAGACACTCTTTGAACAATGTCCTTGATTCGAGCTTTTAGAAGCCGGTTGGACTTTAGTTATGATTTGTAGTCTAGATTTTTCCTCTCTTATAATCAGAAGAGCAAATCTTTTGAATAAGTATAAGGCAATCACCATTATCAAATCCAAAAAGTTTATTCTCAACCAGTGAGAGTATTTGCATTTCCCATAACAAATAGTTGTTCTGTGTCAATTTAATACCCAAAACATTTCCTACAATTAGGAGGGGGAGGCCCCGGGGTTCATAAGAACTCGAGACGGGATGGCCCTGGGTCCATATGTAATTGAGAGGGCGTGACCCTATGTCTGTACTCAGGGTTGAGAGAGGGCACTTTGGGGTTCATATGGAGAGGAGAGGGTGTGGCCTCTGGTCCATATGGACTTGATAGGG